TATGACTAAAAGCAAGACTAATGGGTGAAATCTGAATGGTAGGAAACTATGTGGGCTTGGAGGTTTAGGATGGAATAACTTTTGCCCAACATTGTGCTCTAGGTTAATTAAATAAATCCTAGTCTCTGTGTGGTGATTTGGTTATACAGCTTGTTTAAAGAGATAAATCAACAATAAATATTAATAATCTACAACATGCTACTCTAATGTGCAAGTAGACAAAGGTCTCCACTCTTCAGGGACCGACTTGTCCAGGGAGTTCCATTGTGCCTATCATGTTCCCATTTACTTCCTAAATTCTGCTCCATGCTCTTCCCTAACCCCATTCTTTTGTTTTCTCTGGCAATTTTGTGTGTTCTGGGACAAGTTGAGAGGATCCTTCAAGCAATGAAGATGGCCTCTGGCTTAATCCTAGACAACTCTTGCTTGTTATGACCAAGAATAATAACCTATTTGGTTCCTATTATTCTGTTTCTAGGAAGAGAATTTGTGAAAAATCCTCATGAAATCACATGTAGACTAAGAAGTTTGGTATCAAAAGTGACACACCTATGCATTTTAAGTAAAATATGTAGCTAGGGGTGGTGATGCATGCTTGTAATCCTAGTATCAGGAGGCTGAGGCAGAAGGATCTTGAGTTCAAGACTAGCTCCAGATACATAAGGAGACTGTGTAAAAATGAACGAGGACTTATGTGCGTGCATGTGTGTGTGTGTGTGTGTGTGTGTGTGTGTATCCCTCCTTAACAACAGTGTGCTAGCTAGTATTCTGTTAACTTTACACAAGACAAAGAGGGAACAGAGGAAAGAGGGAATTTCAATTGTGAAAATGCCTCCATCAGATTGGCCTGTGGGCAAGTCTGTGGAACATTTTCTTGATCAATGGTTGATGTGGGAAAGCCCACTCTGTGGGTGGTATAACCCCTAAGCAGGTGGCCCTCAGCTGTACAAGAAAACAGGCTGGGGCCGAGGAGATGGCTCAGCTGTGGAAGGCTAGGATAATGACAAACACATAAGAAAACAGGCTGAGCAAAACACTGAACAAGTCAGTAAGCAGCAGTCTTCTCTGGCCTCTGCTTCAGTTCCTGCCTCTAGGTTGCAGCCCCTGAGTTCCTGCCCTGACTTCCTTCAGCGGTGGGCTATCAGGATGTGTAAACCAGATAAACTCTTTCCTCCCCGGGTTGCTTTTAGTCATAGTCTTTATTGCAGCAAAAGGAAGCTGATGAAGACAAGCAGTTTCCTACAGGACACACCTCACACCCAGATTAGCAGGTTTTCCTGTTGATGCCGAGGCTTCTTTACCCAACCTTCACCTCCCCTTGAGCATCAGTGGAGAAAATCTCTGCCCTGCCCATGACAGAGGCAAATGGTGTCTTCCTGGGCCCACACTGTGGTTCCAGACCACACTCCCTCCAGATGCCCTAAAATGTCAGGTCAGTATGCACTATCATTACTCTCTTCCTTCCATGAACACCTTGCTTCATTCTGGTAAGCTCCTCTAACTGAAAGTCGAGAGGCCTCCAAAGAAACAAGCCCTACCCACATCTGGGTGTTTGAAGTTCTAACTTCCAGAACTGTGAGAATAAGTCTCCAAGGTTTCAGCTACCCAGTGTGGTTTATCCCTCTACAAATGACAGAGTGCACCATGCAGCATCTTCAGGGTCATTATTAAATGTCAGGAATAGATCCCATGGGGTTCAACAGCCCCAGGTTTGCATGCCCATGTTATGTGATTTTATGTCTGCTTGGTTAAGATTGATTTTTAATTATGTGACCTGGGGAGGAGGGTGTGGGCACATGAGCGCTGGTGCCCACACTTGAACTGGAGTGACCTAAACCTAAACGCACACACACTAAAAAAACTTAAGGTAGCCTCGGCTCTCTGAGATGCCAGCCCTGTGAGCAATAAGCACCATGAGAGAGAGGAGGCCTGAAGGAAGTCAGTCAGCTTTCTGGGGTACATGCAGAGAAAAGCTGAGCCCGTGGTTACAGAGTTCCTCCCTTCCTGCTGTCACATGAGGCTGTGGACAAAGACTGGAATCTTAAAAGTTGTCTCTTACCCCAGATGCACATGGCCTGAGCAGCAAGAACTGCAGACCCACTCTGGCACCCCTGGCTAAGCAAAGCATGGTGGAAGAGAGGGCTGCTGGGGAGCAGCCTAGAAATGGCAGAGAAGGTGGCAACCTTTCCCATCCCATTACCACAGTACTGGGGAAATAGGGTCTTTGGGGATTTACCTGTCTGCTACCTGCTTCCAAGTCCAGAAATTTTTCAGCGTGGGACACGTGCTGCTACGGTAGCCTAATCCTTGGAGCTTAATGATCCTGATGTGGTGAGAGACTCCTGGTTCTCTGAAGTGCTCAGAGTATTGAAAGGACAATAGGTTATAACATGAAAGGGGAAGACTACAGATGGCCCCTGGGGGTGGTTATTTTTTGGTAATCAACTTGGTTAGATTAAGAAATGCCCAAATTAGTGAAGAACACCTGAGTGTAACTGAGGATCTTTCCAGAGAAGATTAGCGTGGAGAGACCACCATCTCTGAATGTGGGTGGCTTCATCCCATTGGCTGCGGTCCTAGACTGACAGAGAAAAACAAAAGCTAGGCACTCTTTCTTTGCTTCCTCATGCAGAGATGGAACCTGCTGCCATCGTCAGGAGCCACTCCGGCCACCATGCCTCCCCACTATGGTGAACTATAATACTAAAGAGTGGGACAAAGTTGCAGAGCCATTGCTGTAGTGAACCTGACAATATGGTCTCGCAGACTTTGGGGAACACAGCAGTGGAAAAGATATGGAAGTGTGTGGAGATGCAGGCTGAGGAAGCCCTGGCTTCCTTAAGCAGAGCTTAATGGCTCATTCTGGTAGGCAGTCAAAAGACTAGAATGCTGCCAGAAAGATAAGACCAAGGACTGCTCCCGTGGTTACGGACAACAAGAGCTCTCGGCATCAATTAAAGGACACTTGTGCTGCATTTGGCAGACTCTAGCTTCATTCCAAGCGCATTCTGCACGGTTGAGTGGGACTGAATTCAAAAGTGGACTGATTTAATTGGTGGATAAAATTAGGGCAACATAATATTCACACTGTGACTTGGTTAACAGCTCACGGCTTTACTCAGCCTTACAGTGAAAGCAGAAAGGAGAAATAAATATGCTGTTTCATGAGGAGCTTGGACCCAGGTAAAGCTAAAGACAAAGCTGAGGCAGACATGGCTATGGCTTAGAGATCACTACCATCAAGAATCCTCAGACTTAACTATCGAAATGTGTCTTGAGGGCAAGACCGCACCTACCCAGAGCTCCAAGGAATAATTGAAATTCATTTTAAGGGAGCATGCCTGAAAAAGAAAAGCCTTCCAGGTGCCCTGCTGAAAAATGGCTTCCTGGAGAAGGGTCTTCCCAGCTGCAGATGCAAAGGCACAACAGAAGACTTCACCTTTCTCCATGCTCCTAATGACTCTCCATCCCCACAAGTATCCTACACCATATCCTCAAGAGGTACATTGAGAGGGAAGGCTCCTCCCTCCTCATGACTGGTATCTGTATCCTTTGCAAAACATCATACTTTAGAAGACTGGCATACTGTGGCAGTAGGCAGAACAAAGTTCGTTTGAAAAGTACCAGCTCCCTATCATTTAAGAATATAGACTTACTTCACATCTTCTCCAGCATGTGTTGTCACTTGAGTTTTTGATCTTAGCCATTCTGATGGGTGTAAGGTAAAATCTCAGGCTTGTTTTGATTTGCATTTCCCTGAAAGGACGTTGAACATTTAAGTGTTTCTCTGCCATTCAACATTCCTCTATTGAGAATTCTGTTTAACTCTGTACCCCATTTTTAAATGGGTTACTTGGTTTGTTTAAGTTCTTTATATATTCTGGATATTAGCCCTCGGTCAGATATAGGGTTGGTGAAGATCCTTTCCCAATCTGTAAGCTGTTGTTTTGTTCTGATAACAGTGTCTTTTGCTTTACAGAAGCTTTTCAGTTTAAAGGACAGGAGCCTACCACAGAAAAACCTGGAAAGACTCTACTGATCGAGGTATCGAAGCAGAGGTATCAAAGCAGAGGCTGAGACTCATAAGCCAAACTTCGGGCAGAGTGCAGGGAATCTTATGAAAGCAGGAGATAGAAAGACCTGAAGGGGACAGGAGCGCCAAAGGGAGACCAACAGAGCCATAAAAACTGAGCCCTAGGGGCCCTGAAGAGAATGATACCCCAACCAAGGACAATGCATGGAGAGGACCTAAAACCCCAGCTCAGATGTAGCCCATAGACTCAGTTTCCAAGTGAGGTCCCCAGTAAGGGGAGCAGGGGTTGTCACTGGTATGAACTCAGTGGCAGGCTCTCTGATCACTTCCCCCTGGGGGGGGGGGGGGCAACCAGTCCTGATGAGACCTGATAGGCTAGGGTCAAATAGAAGGGGAGGACCTCAGTGGACTAGGGGAGGGGCATGGGGGAAAAGAGGGGAGGGAGGATGAGATTGGGAGGAGACAAACGGAGGGGGCGACAGCAGGAATACAAATTGGATAAATTGTAATAAATGATAATAAAAAAGGAAAAATAAAACTATAGGAAAAAATATAGACTTACACATCAACTATATCAATGCTTATCAGATACTTACGCTTACATTTGGATAAACTACCAAGTCCTACAGGTGGGGAGTAAACCAGACTATCAATAAATTATCTGTAATGATCAAAGTACCTAACTAGAGGTCCCAAGGAGGCTGGGTACTCAGAAGATTTAGAGCCTTTCAAATTCTGGTTACTGAACACTAAAGTCATTAGAACTAAACAGAACTGATGATAAAGAATGCCTAACAATAAATACTTAATGAGCTAAAAGTAGCTCTTCTAATTAAGAGATCTAATAACTGTCACTAGTTAATAGCCATAAAAAGGCAATAAAGTAGATGTTGAAGGGTATACTTTCAAAGGAAAACAGTGACGTCTTCAAATGCCAAGAAATACCAATTACACATTAGTAAGAACATTCTGCACACACACAATTGCTTTATTAACATAATGTACATAAACTATAAAGGAATAAAAAGTTTAAATATCTGCATCGTAACAAACAGGCGGCAATTCAATATCCAGGGTGGAGAGAATGCTGGAAGGAGACTGCATTGGATCTGGAGGAAGAGGAATTTCTCATTAGTTTCTGCAAAGCCTTTATAGCCATCATCCATAACAAACATCGGAAGCTACTTTCATCTAATGAGTCTTGAACACGCATGCAGACTTCTTAAATGTGGCGGTAACCTCAGAACTGACCTTCATCAAGAAGCAGGTCTTAAAAGTAGGTGAAGCTACCTTGTTCTTTCAAGGATTAAAAGTGTCTCATGAAATAGAACGGGCCACCTATCTCATCAGAACAGGTCAGAGGCCTCTGATGGTGGCTTCTGACCACCGGTTCCAACTAAGACCTGGGGCTTTTGGCAGGGAAAAGGCACTGTGGCTCTACACTGCAGCACAGGTGTCCCAGGTCCTCCATTGGCCAAGGGTGGAGCCTGGAGTGCTCATCCGATCTTGGCTACCATCAACGTCAACGCTTAGCCTAAGGAGCTGTACATTCAACTTCATCTCCTGCTGTAAACCAAAGGCTGCCCAGGATTCCAGAGAAACTTCACTAGGGCCTCAACTACCATGACTGAGAAAGTTATTATGCTGAAATTTTGCCCCTGTACTCCAAAGCACAGGAGCTGCCCACAGGCTCACCTCTACCACAGCACTGACAGTGGGGTATAACAAGTTGCTCGAAGCCCTGAGAGCACGCGCTGGCTTACTTACTAGACTCCCACGGTAAAAAGGGTGTCTTCAGAGGTGAAGGGGGGTCCAGGTGCAGCAGCTTCTCAAGCCCTTTCTCCTCGTTCAGGATCATGAGAGGCACGCCACTCAAGGGGAGGTGTGCAATCTGGTGCTCCTCAGGCAGGTCGAAACTCTCAAAGTCTGTCACAAAGGGAAGCAGGCATCAGGCGGTGCTCCCTCAGCCCGGTTAAGGCAATGGCAGTGAAGTACATGAACTCAAAATATGCTTCACCACTACCCATAATTTAAAGAATAGAGCCAATTTAACAATAGCCAGTTGGGGGCTAGAGAGATAGCTCAGCAGTAGAGAGCCCTGACTGCTCTTCCTGAAGACCCGGGTTCAATTCCCAGCACCCACATGGCAGTCCACAACTGTCTGTAACTCCTGTTCCAGGGGATCTAGCACCCCCACACAGACATACATGCATTCGAAACTCCAATGTACATTTAAAAAAAAAAATAGCCAGTTAGATAATAAAGTTTTTGCCCTAATGTAAATAGTACTTTTCGCATACTCAGCAAGAAGTATAATTTTAACAGCCCCGCTCTTGAAGTTCCTTTAACAGGCTCTGTGATACAAGCATGTAGTAAGTATGTGACTATAACCCGAGCACTTGGTAGGCTGATGAAGGAACATCACCATAAGTTTGAAGCCATCATGAGCTATAAAGCAACTCCCCATTCCCTGTCAAAGATTCTGTAATAAAAAGCAAACTTCCACACACCAGAAGAAAGAACAATGACCGTGTTGATTTGCAATGAGCTGAGCTGCAAGCCATGTCAGGATTTTTCCTCAAAGACAAACTACAGTCAAGAGGATGTATCTGTCCCATACTCTCTCACGGAATTGAGGGAAGTCTATCACACTTCAAGGAAATTTTTGTCACCACCAATAGAATTCAGAAGTATGAAAATTTTTAGAATTATGGAATACTTGCCTGTAGGAAGTATTAATTCGATACTTAATTTGAAGATTTATCTCACATTACTTTATATTTGGCCTTTCTGTTTTGTTTTGTTTGATACAAGCATAGACCCACATAGCCCTGGCTGACCTTGAACCCAAGAGAACTGCCTGACTCTACTTGGGATTAAAGGTATGCCCCAAGCCCAGCTACACTTGGCCCTTTCTGATGATATCAGTGGTGAAACCAAACAATGTACCTTCATGGTGACATAATGAGACACATAATGAAATGTTTCAGTATTTGGATATCTACAGCTTTTTTTAGACAGGATCTCTCTATATAGCTGTCTGTCCTAGAACTCGATCTGTATATTAGGCTGGCCTTGAACTCACACAATGATGACCTAGAACTTCTGATTTCCAACATCTTTGCTCCCATTCTCCCCTTGACTGAAGGTATTACCCTGGCAAGTGATTCCACCTGAACAAGACTATTTATTCAAAGTAATCCGGATTCAGACAGTCCCAGACTCTGGAGCTACACCTTAATAGTCATGTAGAGTTACAGTCTAAGAGAATCTCAAGCTGAGGGCCTTTCCACCATTACCAAAGACATTACCTAGAGGATTGAAGGGGAAGAAGTTTTCTATTTCTGGGTAGGCATCATCAGAAGCAGGAACAGAGCCTTGTGTCTTAGCAGCCTTCTCCGTGATCTAGAAAAGCCCAAGAGAATAAGCACCTGTGAGAATGAAAGGCTTGCCACCTGCGTGGTAATGTGAGCTTGGAGGGCCTCTCAAATGACGACATCACACTTTAAAATGCTGTCGATTCCATGCTATCCTCTAAGAAGTTAGATGCCTTGGTTTTCGGGATTCAGTCTAAAGATAAGGAGGGAACAGCCTCCTGGAAGTTGTCCTCTGACCTTGACATGCATGCAGTCACACCCCTAATCCTAGTACTCAGGGAGGCAGAGATAGGCTGAGGCCAGCCTGGACTACGAAGTATGTCTAGGACAGCCAAGGCTACACAGAGAAACCCTGCAGCCCTGCCCTCCCCATACAAAAGCTAAGGGGCTTGATAGAAAAATGGCTCGGTGGCTAAGAGTGCTTGCTGCTCTCTTAGCCAGGTCAGTTCCCAGCACTCACGGGTGGCTCATGGCTATCTCTAGCTCCAGTCCAAAGAACAAAATACCCCCTTATGTGCTCCTCAGGCACCTGGTACATTTATATACCATATAGGCAAACATGCATCTACATAAACTAAGAGTAAGTTTCTTTGTTTTTTGTTTGTTTGTTTGTTAGTTAAGTCAGAAATTTTAGCACCCGTCCACATATACTACCAAGAACACTGAGGGTTAATTCAAAGCTATTCAACTAAACTGTTCAAACCCAACTGTGGAGAAAATAGGCTTAAGGCATTCCAGAATAGTAGCTAATCCTGGAAATCATTTTTGCCTTATAAAAGTGTTTTTCTGCCACTGTTACCTTAATTACCTGGTTAATATTAACAAGTTTGTTTTCCTTAAACATATGAGATTAAGATGCAGCAATAAAACACCTGAAGAATTACCAGGCAGACAATCAATAGCATAGCAGTAGGCCAAAACAGAAGCCTGCTGCTCTTGATCTTACATAAGCCAGAACTGGAGAGGGGTGAGGGAGTGCTGTGGCTCAGCTTCAGCCTCCCAAATGCTGGGATTGCAGGTGTGTACCAAAGCCAGCTAAGTACCTCACACATCTGTTGTGTGGCTTTTAACCAACTGCTTCCTGGTACTAGTTAAGGAGAGCTGAGGCAAAAATCAGCATTAGCTCTTTCTAAGAGCTACAATCTCAAGATGCTGGACAACTGGGAGTAGTACTGCATGACTCTCCTCTGTTTGTTTTCGGACCTCTACTTACCTCCGACCTCGGAGAAGAAAGGCGGCTAGGAAGTCCATTTGTAAGCCTCAGAAGCGCCACTCCGCACCGGGGACTAAGAAGGCTAGTGGGGCCAAGGAGCCGTGCGGTGGTGAACACCCCTAATCCTAGTACTCAGGGAAGCAGAGATAGGCTGAGGCCAGCCTGGACTACGAAGTATGTCTAGGACAGCCAAGGCTACACAGAGAAACCCTGTCTCGAAAAAATAAGAAAAATTGGGGCGTGTGCTCAGTGGTTAAGAGCATTGGCTGCTCTTCCAAAGGAGCCGGATTCACTTCCTACCACCCATGAAAAGCAACTCACAACTGTCTGAAACTCCAGTTACAAAGGACCCTCTCTGGCCTCCTCAGGTGCCTGCACACATGCACAGATAGATGCACATACATCAATAAAAATAAGAATAAACCATTTTTTTAAGTGAGAATGCATGTACACATACATCATCTCCATGGCCTGCACTCACCTTCTTCACAGTCAAGGTTGGCTGTTTTTGTTTGAGGGGTCTATTGGTCCTCGCCAGCTTTTCTGTAACTCTGTTGACAGTTCCCAAAGCCTTCCTGCTGGACTTAGGCAAGGCTGGAGCACTGAACACTTTGCCAACACGTGGTGTCGAGACCTGTAATTTCCCATCTAAGGCCTTGGCTATTGAAAAAAGTAAGAATATTAGGGGGTCGGTGGGTTAAGGGGCTTGCTGTGAAACCTGACAACCTGAGTTCAATCCCCAAAGCCCACAGTGTAAAGAAAACTGACTCCCACAGGTTGTCTTCTGACCTCCACAGCCACACTCACACAAACATGCCCCCACACATACACAAATAAAGGCAATATTGTTCTTGAAGATTAGGCCATATATTAATACTTCATTGACAACACAATTCTCACTCAAAACCTGTGCTTCATTTTTGGCAGTGGTTTAGCACACTTTTTTTTTTTTTTTTTTTTTTTTTTTTCAAAACAGGGTTTCTCTGTGTAGCCTTGGCTGTCCTAGACTCGATTTACAGACCAGGCTGACCTCAAAGAACTCACATCCATCCACCTGTCTCTGCTTCCCTGAGTGCCAGGATTAAAGGCGTGCGCTACCTCGCCTGGCAACGAGCTCTTAAATAACCTCATTGGAACAGCATGCATCAAGCCAGGCACTTAGGAGGCAGAGGCACATAGATCTCTTGAGTAGCAAGCTCAAGGCCAATTAAAGCTACACAGGAGAATTCTGTCTCAAAAAAAGACGAAGCATGGAGCCTGGAGACAAAGCTTAGTAGGGAGAGTGCTTGCCTAGCATTTGAGAAGTTCCAAGTTCCATCCCCAGCACTGCAGAAGCCAGGCACTGAGCAGGTGGAGGGAGATGGATCAGAAATTCCAGACGCCCCCCCCCCCCCATGTTACATAAGGAGCTAGAGGCCAGTCTGAACTACATGGCACCTTTTCTAAAAATAAACACGAAAATATATCAAACCTGACTCTAATCAACCACAAAGCACGCTAAATACCAGCTTCTGACCACGCCCATAATCCATTCACAACACCTGAGTATTTGAAGGCAGTCCCTACTTACCACCAGAGCCCAGCTTCAAGCCATCCTTAGATGCCAAACGGCTGCCTGGTTCTTCATTATCCTTATCAACAAAGATTAGAGTAGCCATGCTGGATTACTCTGGGGAAGACACCTAAATGTTAGATACTAGCATTGGGCTAAGTATCTAAGCAGCAACAGACATCAAACTTTACCCAGGGCACCTGGGCACAAAAACTTAGCCGTAAACTGGAGTAACCTGTTGGCTTAATCCAGATCTTCAATCTGCAAGCCAAGGTCCGAAACACTGAACCCCTACAGAGGAGCCTGTTTAAGTTGGCAACCGTCGAAACTGTACCCAGCCTATACTCTCAACGCTAGGGGGGAAGAGGCAGAAGGTTCAGATGTTCAAGGCTGAGCCTCAACTACATAAGTTCGAGACCAGCCGGGGCTGTCTGAGACCCTGAAGAGCTTGGAAGGACGGGGGGGTGGGAGGATATAGAAGGAAAATAAAACCAAAGTCGGCGCGGGTCGAGCATGTCAAGAGCGTCTGGGGACGCCGTACCGAGTGAAGCTCAGGTCCCGACCCTGCTTCAGCCTCCAGCCCTGGGTCTGGTTCCCCCGCCACTCAACGCTCACCCCCGACACCCTCACCAAGGTCCCGTCGCGGACATACTCACCCAAGACTGCGCCACCAACGACCCCTCACACCGCGCGGTTTAAACCACAACTCGCGCCTCAATTGGTCCATCCGAGAGGAGGCGGGGCCTGAGGTCTGAGAACCAATGAGAGCAACGGAAGTTTTCAGCAGCGGCCGGACTCCTACCAAGCCGAGCAATTAAAAAAAAAAAAAAAAAAAAAAAACTGGGAGTGAACGTCGTCCAAAACTCCTGAGAGGCTTTTTGTTTCCCATAGTATGGACCTGGGAGGAGACACTGGTCCAATAAGAAAAACGTCGCTTCGTTACTTTAAACTTTAAAGTGACCCAGGCTGTCCTTGAACTCTCTACATAGTAGATAATGGATGATGACTTTAAACTCCTGACTCTGCTCTGGGTCTCCCAAGGGCTGGATTACTGGCTATGCCACCGCTCCAGGCTTAGTTTTTTGTCTTGGGCTTTTTTGAAATAGTCTCTTACTATGCAGCTCAGGCTTGCCTGCTCACTGGCCCAGGGATGCTCCGGACGTTAAGATCCTCCTCCGCTAGGATCGGAGTAGCCAGAGTGGATCCTGTTGGGGACAGACAGACATACACATTAGATTCTGGCGTTTGGGGAAGGCTGAAAAGGATAAGGAACAGTAGCAAATCAAATTTCATCCAGGACACACGTAGGCAACAACTTAACTAGAGAAGCCAAGAGGCTTAATCCAGACCTTAAAGCTTTAAATCAGGGCTGGAGAGATGACTCAGAGATTAAGAGTACTGGTTATTCTTCCAGAGGTTCTGAGTTCAGTTCCCAGGAACCATATGGTGACTCATCTGAGATCTGGTACCCTCTTCTGGCATGCAGGCATACATGCAAGCAGAACACTATACACATAAGAAATAAATAAATAAATAAATAAACCGTTTTTTTTTAAATATTCAATCCTAATACACATAATAAATAAATAAATACATACATACATACATAAACCGTTTTTTTTAAATATTCAATCCTAATAAACCATTTTTTAAAAAATCTTCAGTCCTAAGTCAGAGGCATTAACCTACTGAGAAGATGATTTGGGTCGGGCCCCCATCAAAACCCACGTGGGACTGGAGAGATGACTTGGCAGTTAAGAACACCTACTGCTCTTGAAGAGGACTCTGGCTGTCCTAGGATTCACAACGCAGACCAGGCTGGCCTTGAACTTAAGAGATCGGCCTGTCTGTGCCTCCTGAGTAGTAGCTAATTTCTGCTTATTTTTTAATATTGCAGAAATTTGGCAGGTTTGAAGACAAAACTAGAGTTCATTTGAGAGCCCAGGCCTCGCCATTGAAATAAGCAGTTAATAACATGGCAGCCTTCCCCTACACCCTTTCTCCTATGTGTTTGATTTAATTACTATAAAGTTTTTTTAGTCTGCACTCCCTACAGTAATGGGCCAGGTCCAATGGCAGTAGTTTTGTGTATTCCAGAACACATTCTTAAAGTTCCATGATAGTGAAATACATGTGCTCAGGTGAACATCCATTTCCTCCTGCAGGGTATTTAGGGTCTTTCTAAAACAGCTGTGATAGCCTGAGAAGTCCTCAGCCATACGGAGCCACGGGAGCCACTGCTGTGTGAGTGGTAGGTGGTGGATCAAGAAAGCTTTCCATTACATAGGGATAAAATAGCAAAATGTCCCATCTCTAGTCAAATCCTGCATCTCATTCTCTACAATTCTGCCCCTTACTCAAAACACGTAGGGATTCCTTCATTTCCTCAGTACCAATAGATTCTGTTTAGCCTTAGAAGCTCTGTATAAATAATCCTGTCTACCTAGACAGCTTTTCACTTTCTAACGAGATGAAGAAACTGGGCGTGGTGACACAATGCCTTTAATCCCAGCCACTAGGGTACTCACAAGGCCAGCCTTGTTTTAGAGTTCCTGTAGCCAGACAAGACTACAAACTGAAACCTTATCCCCAAAAGAAACTAAAAAAGAAATATTCAAAGAGAAGTAGAGGATGCATCTTGTTTTTGTGTAAAAATATAGGTAAATTTTATGGTGCTGATAAAATTTAAGGAATAAACATTTATTTTAAAAGTTTTCATAAGTATGTACACATTTACAATTAAGAATTTACAGGCTAAAGCTATAGCTCAGCTGATCAAGTACTTGTCTAGCATCCTGGAAGAACATAAATCTGGTGAAGGGGCAGACAAGAGGATCAGAAGTTCAAAGTCACTCTGTGCTACACAGCAAGTTCAAGGCCAACCTGGAAGACCAGAGATAAAAGGAGAGGGGAGAAGGATCTCTAACTCTAAGAAATGAATTGTGATCAGAATTATGTGAAAATATGTTTTTCTTGTGGCTGTGATGTTCTTAAACAATTGTCTGAGGGCTAAGGATGTAGCTGGGCAGTAGAATGTTTGCCTAACATAAGGAAGGCCCTAACCATGGGCATGGAGGAGATACTTAAAATCTCGAGGTAAAAAAGTGACCAAACTATTTTTCCTTATAGTTGATCCTTATTTGGATCAACCAAATAACTGTTCATCCAGAGAAAAAGAAATTTAATCTAAATTTAAAAGGAAAGAAAACATCTAAAGAAACACTTTTATAGCCATCGGTAAACAATGGAGGAAAAATGAACATGCAATTGTCTAATCTGATTTTAACTAAAGAAATGAAAAAGTACATGTAAAGTGAGATACAGGAGACAACAAATATTGGGTTTAGACACTAACAGGAGAGTAGAATCAAAAATTAAGGAAATAGCCAGGTGGTGGTAGCACTTGCCTTTAATCCCAGCACTCAGGAGGCAGAAGTAAGTGATTCTCTTTGAATTCAAGACCAGCCTGGTCTACAGACCTAGTTCTGAGACAGCCAGAGCTACACAGAGAAAGCCTGTCTCAAAAAGAGGGAGAGAGAGAGAGAGAGAGAAGGAGGAGGAGAGAAGAGAAATAAAGAAAGAGAGAAAGAGAAGAAAGAAAGAAAGAAAGAAAGAAAGAAAGAAAGAAAGAAAGAAAGAAAGAAAGAAAGAAAGAAAGAAATAGAAAGAAAGACAATAATCTGGGTAGATGAAACAGCTGTTTGATGTGTGGATCATTTTATGACAATTGTGACTGAGAACTATTCCCTACTCACAGAGCTACCCGCAGCACACCAGACTGGGCTCTGTCTTAGCACACTTCCTTAAATCTGTTTATGAGCGAAGTGATGTTCCTAATGAATATGGAACTCAAGCTCCCTTCAAGTTCAGTCAGCAAATATTTACTGGACACTATGCTAATCATCAAAAGGAAGAGTCTAATTCTAGGAGGTAAAGCATAAAGACAACAGACAGACAGACACACACCACTTATACCTTTATTGACCCTTTTATGCCTGTTCTTTCTTTTTAAGATATTTATTTATTTTGTGTAGATGAGTGCTCTCGATGCATGTACACCTGCATTCCAGATGAGGGCATCAGATCACATTATAAATGGTTGTGAGCCACCATGTGGTTGCTGGGAATTTTTTTTTTTTTTTAATCTATTACTTTGGGCTCTTTGACTGGGGTGCAGATGTAGCTATATTCATGTGGGGAAGGGTAAATAACCACACAGCACAAAGGAAAATTTCCAGGGAATGGCTCAGTGGTGAGGGAGCTTGGTGTTCTTGCAGAGACTCCCGGGTTGGGTACTCACGGTGTCCCACTGTCATCTATCTGTATTTGCAGTTACAGAGGATCTGACACGATGGTGTGCAAACTCACACACCTAACTTAAAACATAAAAAAATCCACCCAAATCACCTATTTTCCAGTATGGGGGATTTTTTTTTTTTTAAGTATTTTTGTTTGTTTGAGACGGGATCTTACACAGTGGCACATACTTGTGATCCCCGAACTCTGCGAGGCAGGGGCAGGCGGATCTCTGAGAGTTCGAGGCCAGTCTGGTCTACAGAGTGGTCCAGGAAAGCCAAGACTAAACAGAGAAACCCTGGCGAGACGGGGGGTGGTGGGGGGTGGGTGGGTGTTGAAGGGAGGGAGGGAGAGGGACAAAGAACCTTACCACGTCACTAGCCTGGAACTCAAAAGATCAGCCCATCTCTGCTGGGATTATCACCCTGCAGAGCACAAAGCTGCACCGCCATCACCTTCCCACTGGGCGCGCACAGCGAACTACTTCCCAGACTGTCATCTCCGCTCAAAACAAACTTGCCAAGCGCTTGCGAGTGCGCAGGCGCCGCACTTCCGGAAGTTATTCCTGCGCTGCAGGAACCCGGAAGTAAACATTACCGGGTCGCCGCGTTGCTGGCGGATGGTTTTGGAGTACTCTGTGGCAGAGCTGGGTAAGTTAGGGTTCCGAGACTGAGCAGACGAAGGGGACCCCGGGGAGCGGGCCTTCTCTGCAGCGGGTCTTCCCGGTGACGAGCCGCCGTCGTATTGCGGACCCGGGAGGAGACCGCGGCCTGGGATTTAGGCGCCACCTTAGCGTCCAGCCGGATGGAGACTGAGTTCTCAAGTCCTGGTCACTGTGGGCGGGACGTCTCGGGCAGCGCTGATCTCTCAGTCCCCAAAAGCATGCCTTTGATGTTTAGTTTTTCTCGTTAGATGGAGATGATCTTATTTTACGGAGAAAATGTGAGGGTCAAAAGGAGAGTGTCTGTAGCTTTCGGGGAGTGGGAGTTTTTAATCTTCTAACCCGGAGAAAGTAGGGACCCTCCGCAGAGCAGTGTAATCTAATGACAGCACTTCAGCCTGTGGTGATTCTGAATGTCTCTGGTGCCTAACATGATTTAAAGGACCAACAGTAAAGGCAGGCTTAGGTTTCAGATCCGTCTCTCTTGCTAATGTCTTGTTGGCTGAAGGTGTTAAACTCCCCAAACTTGTTAACCTCGCTTGTTGTAAAGATTACTAAAGAAGTGGTAATTATTAAAATGAAGGTGATTGAATCTGTTAAGTGTCCTCTTTCCCTCCCGGTGTACTTAGGCTACCACCATTTCTAACGCTTTATATTTTTTAAAACCCATTTTCTTGTAATTATGTGTATAACTAGGTGGTGGGTGGGCTGCTGGAGTTACAGACCGTCGTGAGCCTCCTGATGTCGATGCTGAGAACTGAACTAGGTCCTCGACGGGAGCAGAATGTGCTGCCTAAGCCATCTCTCCTGCCCCCTTCACAAACTTCAATAGAGAACCAGGCATGGTGATGGTACATGCCTATAAATCCAGTAAATGCAGTGCTTGGGAGATAGAGGCAGGAGGATCAGACGTTTTTCCTTCTACTATAGAGTGAGTTCAAGAGCAGCCTAACCTGTGGGATATTCCGTCTCAGAACAAACAAACAACAATAACAAAAAAAAAAACAAAAAAAACCTATGGATATTTTCAGTGGGTCAAACGCAAAAGAGAACACTTTGAGCAGCATCATAGTCTTCTAGTCTCTAAGCACTTAGCATTGAGAAAGAGTTGTATAAATGCCCATTGACTGCAGGAGGACCACTAAAGAAAGCCTGGGGAGGGGTGTGGCTTGCAGGGAGAAAGTGGGGTGGGGGTTCAGTCAGAGTGAGTCAGTCTGTTAGATGTGGGGCTGGAAACCAGGTACCAGACCTTGGCTGATGATGTTTTAAGTGTTGGCCTATAGAGTAGGAGTGATAGCATCCATGGGCTCTGCACTTTCCAGTATAATAGATGCTAGCCGCACGTGGCTGTTGAGATGGAAAATGTGGCTGGTCCAGATAAGTTTAAAATCCATAATGGTTTTTAAAATTGTTGGGTTTGTTTTTGGGTTTTGTTCTTTTGGGTTTTTTAGGTTTTTGTTTTTAGTTTATTGAAAATTGGAATTATGCTGTGTTGGAAATATTTAGTTAAGAGTGTTTTGTGAAAGCTGGGTTGTTTCCTTTTGTGTATGTTTTTGTCAGAATCTTGCTATGTAGCCTGTTGTGGCCTTACAGATATGGTCCTCCTGAGTAATAGGCATTTACCACCATTGCCCTTTTTAGCTCTTTAATACTGTTACTCAAAAACAAAGAATTAAAAAAAAAACAAAACAAAGACTTACATAAGTTGCTGTCACTACTTTTCTCTGGGAGCATACTGCTTTGGAGAGATTTTTGAGCTTGAGCAGTGGGGCATGTGATCAGATTTGTATTTTGAAAACTTAAACTGAATAGTATGGAAAAAATTGGGCAGGATCAGAAGAGATCCATGAGCCTCAAAAAGTCACAACTTGTACTAAACGGTTGCAGCATTCAATATGAAAGGAGTAGGTAAGTAGCAGTGCTATTTAGAAAGTAAAAATTCTTGTTAGTCATGACGCAGGTAGGGGGATAAGCCGAAATAGGTATAGGAGGAAGAGCTGTCAGTGAAAGGAGGCTCAATTTCACAGGAAAGGCCAGGAGTTGAAGGTATGTTGTGGATGCGTAGCTCTGAGGCTTTATGTACACAGTTGAATGGATTTGAAGATCAAACGGAAATTCTGGAGCAGAGAAATAACGTGGAACCCCAGTAGTGAGATCCTCCTCCTCCTGAATCTTGGAAACTGGTATTGTTTAGAGCAATGAGTGAGGCTCTGGCCACACCATAAGGAATCAGTATCTAAGTAAATGTGGGCTACAGATGAGCCTGAAAGGGAGTCAAGAACAGAAGAGGTACAGGAAAAAATGTTAATGTGTTGTAGAAGTCAAGGATTAAGAATCTGACAAAAGGAAGGAAGGGAACTGAAAGATATCCTGTGGGTTTAGCACATTGATTAGCATTAATTTAGTTTATTTAGTAATAGTAGTTTTCATTAGCATGGTTGGGAACGGAAGCTAAGTCAGAGTGACTGCGGTTGAGGAGTACAGAAGGTATAGAAATAGAGACACTGTGAATATAGGTCTCTCGCGCACGTGCTCTTTCTCTTCCCTCTCCTCCCCCCATTCCCATGTGTTTGTGTGTGTGTGTGTTGCTAGGCATCCCTGAATGTAGACTGACCCATCTATATTTCCTTCTGACAAGGTCTCATGTAGCGCAGGTTGGTTTTGAACGCTCTATATAGCCAAGGATGACCTTGAACTTCTGATCCTGTATTCATTCCAGATTGCTGGATCACAGGTGTGTACCCACCATGCCTGGTTTTTTTCCACACTGAGAATCAAACTTCTGTACATGCTAGGCAAATTCTCTATCAACTGAAGCTTCATCCCCAGCCCCTGAACTCTGGTGGTTGTTAGGGCATTAGGCCTTCAAGGGGAACAGTGGGGCCTCTGTAATTTTAGACTGTGATAGAAAAGTTGGAGACATACAGGAGGGCTAATTTAGGAACATCTGTATGAAAGTCTTGAAATTTTATATACATGGCTTTCTCAATTTATAAATTGCAGTGTTGAGAACTTGTGCTGAGAATATGTAAAGATATTATTTTTTTTCTTTGAGACAAAGTTTCATTATAGAGCCTTGGCTAGCCATGGATTCTGTATGTAGACCAGACTAGCCTCCAACTCCCAAATTTGCACATGCCTCTGCTTTCCACGTGCAAGATTAAAGTTGTATATTACACCACCCAGTTTGTAGATCCTTTTGAGGAAGAGAAAGAAACCCTTAGAACTAGTGAGATGGCTCAGCAGATAAAGGCATTTACTACCAACTTTGATGACCTGGGTTTGATTCCTGGGACCCACATCTCAACTGGACAGAACCAGTGCCTACAAGTTGACCTCTGACCACCCCATACAGCCATGGCATACTCAATCCCTGCCCTACCCTCCCACTCACATGCACACAAAACAAATAAAATGTAATTTTAAAATGTGAAGAAGCTCTTCTTTACAGGCCCTTTGAAAGAATACAAATGCATGAGACGAGAGACTGCTGTTTAGTGCTGCAAGGACCCAGTTTTGTGATCACAACGCCACAAAAAGTTTGTAAAGTAAGAGGGAGGAAAAAAATGAAGGATAAAATTCACAATGTGTATCATTAGGACCTGCTCCAGTAGTCTCAGCGGACATATTCCTGAAGGCCTCCTTTACTGTAAAAAATTCTTTCTTTCTTAGAGGAAGCCAGTTCATCATGTCGGCAGCAGCTGTGGATACGGTTAATGCCACACCCCTGTCAGGGTCAAAAGAAATGAGTTTGGAGGAGCCAAAGAAGATGACCCGGGAAGACTGGAGGAAAAAGAAGGAGCTAGAAGAACAGAGAAAGCTGGGCAATGCTCCTGCAGAAGTTGATGAGGAAGGAAAGTAAGTCTTTTCCTGCATGATCTGCTTAAATCTACACCCACTTCATCAGGTTCTCACCCTTTGCTTTGGTAGAAACTGTCCTTTATTATTTGCAGAATTTTTATTCTTCTTTCTTATCTTATCAAACTCATATGTATATGGTTTAGTAGCCAAATAATACTGAAAAGCCCATAATGAATAACAGTTATCCCTTTTTACCTTTTTCACTCCCAAGTCTAAAGTGGCTTCTTTTACATCCTTTTTGAATTTTTCACATCTCTGCATAATAATGCCTCTGTGGTTATTTTAATCAGTTGTCTTTGGGCACTAATTTAACTTCCAGCTCTAATAGATGGAGCTCTCTTAATCCCTTCTTGCCTTCCCTCCTCTGGCTCCGTTCAGTTGTTCCTTTAGTCTCAGCATCTTGACTAGAAAGTTACTCGATGTACTGTAACCTGCATCCTTACTTTTAGTTCTTCTGCTAATGGAGATAGAGGCCCTCTTCCCTCCCTTCCCACTGCAGGATTTCTGTTCTCAGCCTCTGTGCCCACTGCCCTGTGGTTAAAATGCCATTTTCAAACTGTCTTCTTTACAGTTTCGCTTAAATTTTATTACAGAGATATCAACCCTCATATCCCTCAGTATATTTCTTCGGTTCCATGGTACATTGACCCATCCAAAAGACCCACTTTAAAGCATCAGAGACCACAGCCAGAGAAACAGAAGCAATTCAGTTCATCTGGGGAATGGTACAAGAGAGGCGTAAAGGAGGTGCGTGGCAACCTATGTGTCCTTTTGTGGGTGGAGATATACTGTGAGGAACTTAAGAACTTTAATGTGATGCTGTTTAAAGCAGGAAGCCATTATGTGACACTTGGAAGTCACTGTGTATACAGTGTTAGTGACAGTCTTTCTTACATCAATTTTATATTATTGAAATCCTTAAACTTGGTTATCTCAGAAAAGAAAGACTACATGGTCTTCTTTTTAACAAATAAAGTCATTCAGTAGACAAAGTAGAGCCAAAGTTATTTTTAAATGACTGATATATAAGACGTCTGTTTTGTTTATCTCTGATCTTTAATAGAATTCTATAACTACCAAGTACCGCAAAGGGGCATGTGAAAATTGTGGGGCCATGACACACAAGAAGAAAGATTGCTTTGAGGTAAGTTTAGCTCTGAGCCTGTTGGGAAACTGTCAGCAAACCTTTTTATTTTTCCCTTGTTAGAGAACTTCTGTTTTCATTAAATTATTTTAGAAGAATAAAAATTAATTGGATAAAATTAGTCTGGCATCATCGTTTCTTGCCCAAAGAGAGCCTGGTAATTATAGACTAAAAAATGCCACAGTATGTCTACCCCAACTCTGTAAAAGTTGCATGAACTCTTTCTCTGTGCTGCAAGATTTTAGGAAAAGATGTGCTGTCTTTCAGAGGCCAAGGCGGGTGGGAGCTAAATTCACGGGTACCGACATCGCTCCAGATGAGCACATCCAGCCCCAGCTGATGTTCGACTATGACGGGAAGAGAGACCGGTGGAATGGCTACAATCCAGAGGAGCACATGAAAATTGTTGAGGAGTACGCCAAGGTTGATCTGGTGAGCTACTTCCTTGCCTTTCCTCTTCCCTAGAGAAGATCTGTTCTGCTGTGTTTCTAGCCCGACAACAACATTCTTTTGAATCTTAGGGCACTAGGAGATTGGTGTCGTTTCATTCCATATAGTTACGTGTCTAATTCAATGGTGAAAACAGTGTAGTGGCCCGATTTAGCAGCAGCTTCTCTTTCCTTCTTTTTGTTTTTGTTTTTGTGTTTTTCTTTTTTTGTAACAGTGTCTCTATATAGTGCCAGCTATCCTGGACCTTGCTGGCCTTGAACTCCTACCTCTGTTTCCCAAATGCTGGGATTAAAGGCAAGTACCACCACACCTGGCTGGCAGCAGTTTCTTGAGGCTTTTATTCTTTAGTTCCAGTGTGACCAAAGGTACTAGCCATGTAAGAACAGACAGACATGCAGATCATTCTTTTGTTCATTCATTCATTCATTTGTTCATTCTTTTACTTACTTATGTCAGTCTTACTGTGTAAGCCTTGCTTTTCTAAATCTCACTATGCAGATCAGGCTAGCCTAAGCCTCACAGAGATCTGCCTACCTGCCTCCTGAGTGCCAGGATTAAAGAAAGGTGTACATCACCATATTCTGCTACTTTTGGCTTTTTGAAGTTCTGAGGTCTTTGCCCCTAGGCTAGAACTTGTGTCTAAGGCTGCTTTATGGTGCTCTCACGTACCCTGTAAGGATAGGTAGTCTGTTTCAGAAAACTGGCTTTTATTCTAACCAGTTTTGTTTTGTTTTTTTGTTGTTGTTGTTTTGTTTTTGTTTTTTAACAATGATTCTACCTTTCTACCTTCTTACCCAAATTCAGAACAGTAGTCTATTCTGCCTTTTTTTTTTTTTTTTAAAGAAATTACTGATTATATTTAAGATCCTGAATTTTAGTTTTGGGGGTTAGCTTCTATCACGTTTTGTTTTCATTTTTAAGGGTTACATGTAACCCTGGCTGACCTCGAACTTCCCATAATTCTATAGCTATGTAGCCAAGGATGTTCTAAGCCTCTTCCTCCTGTACACTAGGATTATGGACATGTGCCACCATGCCTGGCAAGCTCATGAGACAGCACCCAGAGATCTCCATTTCATGTCTTCCTGAACATTGAAATCCATAGTAACCCGAGCCTGGTTGAGATTAGTCAGCCCGTCATCGGGAGTCCGTAGCGTCTGCCACTGTAGCTGGGGCTCACTCTCTGCGATTACTGTTGCTCTCCTGCCTCTTCTTACGTCAAAGCTTGTTCATGCAAGGCTCTAACTCTCTGAGCCCTTTTCTTCTTCTCTTTGTCTTCTTTTTTTCTTTCTGTTTCTTCTTTCTTTTTTCTTGTTTTTGCTTCTTTCTTCTTTCATTTTTTAAGACACAATCTTCTATAGCCACCCTTAGCTCTAATGACCATGTCTTAAAGCACTGAAATCACTCATTTTAAGTGTATACAATCCAAATGGCCATTGAGATGTTATAAGTAAAATTTAAATGTCTTTTTTTTTTTTAAGGCAAAACGAACATTGAAAGCTCAGAAACTCCAAGAAGAATTAGCTTCTGGAAAATTAGTGGAACAAGCCGTAAGTAAAGATACAAGATACTCAAGTAAAACAGTGGTTCTCAACCTATAGAGTCATGGCTCCTTTGGGGGTTGAACAACCCTTTCACAGTGGTCACCTAAGACAATTAGAAAACAGATATTTATATTATGATTCATAACAGTCGCAAAATTACAGTTCTGAAATAGCAGCAAAAATAATTTTATGAATGGGGGTTACCACAACATGAGGAGCTGTATTAAAGGGTAGCAGCAATAGGAAGGTTGAGAATCACTAACTTTATTTCATTTTAAAACAATGAAATAAAGCTTAGAACAAGAATTTATTTTCTATATCTCCAGTTAGGAAGGAACTGAACTTCTCTCCATCTCCTAAGCACAGAAGGGCACTGCATACACGCAGCCTTCATTCCTAAAACAGATTTATTAAGACCATGTTAGCAATATTAGCTATCATATATTTTAGTGATATATGAAAAAATAGAGGACCACCATAGAAAAAGGCCCATAAAGCCAGGTTTCTTTTTCTTTTTTTTTTTTCCTCTGACTTTTTGCATATGTGATGTTGGTGGGGTTTAAACCTAAATTGCAAACATTCTGACAGCATTTTTTGTTTGGATTTGATTTTTAACGTATTATATATGCAGTATTTTCCCTGCATGTACACCTGCACGCCAGAAGAGAGCACCAGATCTCATTATAGATAGTCTTAAGCCACCATGTGGTTGCTGGGAATTGAACTCAGGACTTCTGAAAGAGCAACCAATGCTCTTCACCTCTGAGCCATCTCTCCAGCCCTAGACTTGATTTTTAAAAACTAGTGAGGTTTGGGCCCAGTGAGATGGTTCAATGGGAAAAGACACTTGCCTTGCAAGCTTGGCAACTTGGCTTTAAGCCCCAGAACCCATCTAAAGGTGGAAGGAGAAAATGAACTTCACAGAGTTGTCCTCTGACCTCCACATGTAGTCACTGGCATGTGCTGACACAATACTAAATAAATACAAAAAAAACTAGTCCAGGTTAAGAACTATGATTCATCTAAAGATGAAACAAATGGAAATGAGTATGTATCGGGTTCTTTCTTCATCTTCATCTTCCTATTACTTTGTATGATTATAAGTGTATAGCAAGAGGCTGGAGAGGTGGTTTAGTGATTAAGAGCACTTGCCTTTCAGAGCCCGTGAGTTCAGCTTCCAGCACCCACATCAGGCAGCTTACAGCTGTCTGTGACCCCAGCTCCAAGCAATCCAATATTCTCTTCTGACCTCCAAGGCAATGCACACACACAGCACACACACAGACACATACACATAAAAGCCATTCTACATCGATAAAATCTATTTGTTTTCTGATTTTGTAGAGACTAATAAAGTGTTCACTCACGTTAGCATACTTACGTCAGAATATATGTGCTTGGTACAACTGAAAAGTCTGAGAGCTTACTGAGTTGAAATGAACCAGCCATTCTTCCTTTCCTCCCTCCCTTCTTCCTCCTTCCCCCTTTTTCTTTCCATTCCTTCCTTTTCGGTGCTAGGGATCAAACCCAGGGCCTGGTGCATGCTAAGCACACACTGTACCAATCACCTATACCTGTGTATATTATATGTTTTTAAAATGCTAAGTAATCAGTAAAAGTGAAAGAGATTTACAAATGATTTTCCTTCCTTCCTGATACAGAATTCTCCAAAACACCAGTGGGGAGAAGAGGAACCCAATTCTCAGATGGTAATACATACTTGGCTTTTCTGGCTGCATCTTCCTTTTAGTTTCAATGGCTCGTTGTAACCGTAGTCATAATAATAGCTTTAAATCACACAAATAAACCTTTGTTTAAAGGGAAAGGAAAACAAGACTTGGGTGCTGCTGTTTTTTGTTTAGTTTTCTTGTCCTCCACTCTTCTTTCAGGAAAAGGATCATAACAGTGAAGATGAGGATGAGGACAAATATGCAGATGATATTGACATGCCAGGGCAGAATTTCGACTCTAAGAGACGCATTACTGTTCGGAATCTCAGGATTCGTGAAGATATTGCAAAAGTAAGTGTTGTCAGCCTGACCTCAGCTTTGACGATAGTGTTTCTGTGCTTTCCTCTGCTCTGCAGTGTCTGTGTGGTTTGATTGGTGTGATAAGTCACTGCAAAGGACGGCATCAGCCACTTTTCATGTACAGAAATGTACATGGACGTTTAGTTGATCAGAAACTACTCCTCTTCCAGCTGAACCCCTCCTTGCTATAAATAAATGTTAATTTAGTCTTTAAATATTTTTTTTCTAGTATTTGAGAAATTTAGATCCAAATTCTGCCTACTATGATCCAAAAACTAGAGCGATGAGAGAGAATCCTTACGCCAATGCAGGAAAGAATCCAGATGAGTAAGTATCCAGTTAAACTTTACAGACTTCAGAGGAAGAGGAGGCAGTGCTTTCATTTTGTGAATGAGTTTTTCTTGAAGGAAAACAATCTCTGAGACAGCTTTTTAAAATCTGTGCTTACAGAGTGAGTTACGCTGGAGACAACTTTGTTCGATACACAGGAGATACCATTTCAATGGCTCAAACACAGCGTAAGTATTTCTTCTATACCAAGGCCTTATATAAGCTTCAGGGATGAGGACCAACAAGATGGCTAGAGGTGCCTGCCATCAGGCTTGATGACCTGAGTTCTGTCCCAGTGTCTCCATGGTAAACAGAGAGGACTAAGTTGTCCTCTGACCTCTTAGATGTTATATGGCATGAGTGATCATATGCATTTGCACACACAGATAAATGTAAAAAAAAAAAAAGATATTGTGGATTATAAACAGGCATAATGGCATATATTTATGGCCCTGGTATTGGGGAGACGAAGGCAGGAGGATTGCCACTTGTTTGAGTCAACTGTCTCAGAAAAAGCAAGCAGATGGGGGGATAAAAGAAGGAGAGGTGATGAGAGAGGCACTGTTAGCAGTTATGGAAAGCTTACTAAAAGGAGAAGGAAAAAAAAACCTCAGTGAGCTATCAACTCATTGAAATACTTTGAATTACTCTAGTGTTTGCTTGGGAAGCCTATGACAAGGGATCTGAAGTACATCTCCAGGCAGACCCTACAAAACTAGAGCTGCTGTATAAGTCCTTCAAGGTCAAAAAAGAAGACTTCAAAGAACAGCAGAAAGAAAGCATCCTGGAAAAGGTACCACTAAAAAATGACTTTAAGCATTAACCGGTATACAGTACGAAGAGTTCCTTTTAGCCCAGGAGGCGTAGTCCTGTCCCCGCACTGACTTAGTTGTGTAGACTTTTGTAGCAGTTACGGATGCCCCTCCCAAGATGTAGTAATTAAGATAAACATCTGTTTTTTTTTTTTCTCACACTTCTTTATGGAAGCTGGAGCCCCTGATCCACGACTGCTCAAGTCTGCATCACATAGTCTTGTCTCCTTATATCCTGTCCCAGCATTCGATAATGCTTTCTTAGGGTTCCAACACAGCTACAAAATGTACGCCCCAGTGCACAGAACACACCTGTGCTTTCATCACTTTTGTAGCTTCCCATTGGTGGAAGAAAGTAACATAATCACATCCAGACTCCAGGGATGGAGAAATTGTCTCCCATCTATTGATGGGAGAACCAGTAAAGTCATGAGGCAAAGGATATCAGATGTGCACCTAAAAAAGAGGAACTTAAGGCCATCTTGAAACCTATCTCGCTTATCAGATAACTCATGACAAAAACATGTTACTTACCTGGAAGAATTGGTGATACTTTTTTCACCATTTTCTCAGGAAGGCTAGTAAAAAAAAAAAAAAAAAAAAAGTTCATTAGTTCATTCTCATTGAAATTAAACCATTCCATAAAGATTTGATATAAAACTTTAGTTATAAAATATATTTAATAATGCCCAATGTCCTTTTAGTACGGTGGCCAAGAACACTTGGATGCTCCCCCAGCTGAGCTGCTGTTAGCTCAGACAGAAGACTATGTGGAGTACTCCAGGCATGGGACAGTCATTAAAGGCCAGGAGCGGGCTGTCGCCTGCTCCAAGTACGAGGAGGATGTGAAGATCAATAACCACACGGTCAGTGCCCAGCTCCTTACTGCTTCCCAATGTAGCGTCATGATTAACCATTGCTTTCTTTTTTTGTTGTTGGCATTTTAGCTTTGCTTTATGAATTTTTTATACCTGCATGCTCACCCAGAATCAAAACATTTTTTGTCTCTTATACCATTTATTCTTTGTCTAGGTTTGAATGTACACTAGTATGTATATAAACACACATTCACATACGCATTCTGTATTTACTAAATTTGGGGCAGAAATACTTGGAAATTGCCCATCTGACACTTCACTCATAAACACTCTTATCACATATCTTCTAAAAATGAGAATTCTAGATAGTCCTGCTACCCTGTTATGCCTCAGAAAACTGACGTAACTCTTAGTTCATGTAGCCTTACTGAGATTATACACACGCACACATCAGTTTGTGGAGTTGGCTTTCTCCTCCACTTTTAAATGTGCATCCCAGGGTTCCACTCAGGTGCACCAGCCTTGTGTGCTGAACACATTACCCTTTGAGCCATCTTGCTGGCCCCGTCCTTACTTTTTAAAACCTATACACAAAAATACTTTTGATAGCTACGTTTCGCCAAGTCCAGTTAAGTCTGTGTTGATGATTTACTTGCTGGTGGTTGTCTCTTTTCCTGTCTGTTTTCAAGACAGTGGTCATTTACCAGATCTGGCCACTTATCATGTAAACTGTCTTATATTCTGTATTTGGCTGTTTGCTAGTAGTAGTGTCATGACTTTCCTTCTGTTCCCTATAGGTCTTAAAACAAGAATTTACATCCAAAGCCTAGATTAAGTAGAACCTAAATATTTTGGCAAGAATGTGTAGTAGGTTTGTGCATTACACCATAATGCATATTTATGTATATATGTATTTTTCTGGTGCTAGGGATTGAACTCAGGGTTTCATAGGTGCTTAGCCATGTTCTGCCACTAAGATAGAGTCTTGACTCTATTTGTTGTGAACCTAAATTGACCAAATTGCTTTTACATCAAGAATAAAAAACCTTATAACCTATAGCTGTACTGTGAAGAGTGGAATGAACCAGACAGAACTTACAAATTGTCAACATAATGTAATTTAACAAGGGTATACGCGCTATTCAGCAAGAGCCAATTACAGTAAAAACATGGGTTTACGATGCCCTGTACCTTAAGTGAAATCAAGTATGCTAAATATTTTCGTAGACTTTTCTTGGGAGTCAGTTTATTGAGACAGTCTTACCACGTAGCCCCAGGCTGGCTCAAATTTAATTGTTACCTCTTCTGCCTCAAGTGCTGGGATTATAGTCATGGGCCATCATGCCTGGTGCAGGCTTCTGAGAATAGAACTTAGACCATCATAATTACAGTACCAACTTCTCAAGTTTTGACATTAGCCCTTTGTCTGTCTTTATTTTCCAAAAAATGGAGTATTGTTCTTTGAAAATACATTTTATATCCTATCAGCCAAATATCAGGCTGCTATCCAAATACTCTCTTGTGTATATCTCTGCAGCACATCTGGGGATCTTACTGGAAAGAAGGCCGCTGGGGATACAAATGCTGTCACTCTTTTTTCAAGTATTCCTATTGTACTGGAGAAGCCGGGAAGGAGAGTAGTGTAAGTAATTACCCTCTAGTTTTTCTTCTTGCGGAGATCAGTAAGGAGTTGAGCCGGGATTTCTTGTAGGCTTGGCTAGCTGTGAAGTCACTCAGGCCAAGGATGACCTTGAGCTTCCGAGTATGGCTGCCACCTCCCAGATGCTGAGCTTTAGGAGATGCTAGGGATGGAGCCCGGGACTTTGCAGGCTGAGCAAGGATTCTGCCAACCAAGCCACGCCCCCAGCCCCTATCCTCTAGTTCTTAAAGTATAAGAAAGCTAAACCCTGTATAAACCGTGTCTTCCCATGTTTCACATTCTAACCTGTTCTTCAAATGATTCAGAACTATAGTTTTCAACTCGTTATATTTCTTTTCCCACAGAATTCAGAGGAATGTATTACAAATGATGCAACTGGAGAAGAGTCTGTGAAGAAACCACAAACCCTCATGGAGGTCAGTATGTAATCCTCTGTTCTGAATTGTTAAGTCCTGAGGGGGGAATGTTGAAACGTGTGCCAGAGTTCTGTGTTCACATGGCCTTTCAATTCTCCCTGTCAGCTGCATCAGGAGAAACTGAAAGAAGAGAAGAAGAAGAAAAAGAAGAAGAAGAAACACCGAAAGAGCAGTTCCGACAGTGATGATGAGGACAGGAAACAGGAGAAACTGAAAAAGGTACCGTGTGACATCTAAGTAGTAAAAGTGACAAGCAGCAGGGTTCATCGTCTGTAGGGACCTTGGGGCTAATCATTCTTGCCTGAAAATGAGGAACAACCCAGAGTGAGGGTTGTTTGCTCAGGTCACATCAATGGCAGTTTTGTGAATCTGAGCATTACTGGACATGCGTGCGTGCGTGCGTGCGTGTACGTACCCATAAAGAGGTCAGAAGGCAACTGGCAGGAGTTGGTTCTCTTCTTCTGTCGTGTGGATTGTGGAGATTGAACTGGAGCCATCAGGCTGGGCAGCAATGGCCTTTACCCACTGAGCCATCTCACCAGCCCCTCAACAGAATTTCTTTACCTGATTAAAAAATATTGCAGAACATTTTGTACTCTGTGGAAATTACCAAATGAGCCAAATAGTAACTAGTTGCAGTTTCACAGTGCAGGAACTGGCTCCTATATTCTTTCAGAATAGTGGGGCTTGATATAGCACTTATATTCCATGAGGTCTTTGAACATTTGTTCTTTGAACAAAAAGCCATGTGATGGAGATTTGATGTGCTTATTTTCCACGTCTCACTATAGGCACTGAATGCCGAGGAGGCTCGCCTCCTTCATGTAAAGGAGATCATGCAGATTGATGAGCGGAAGCGGCCTTACAATAGCATATATGAAGCCCGGGAGCCCACTGAAGAGGAAATGGAGGCCTACAGGATGAAACGGCAGAGGCCAGATGACCCCATGGCTTCTTTCCTGGGACAGTAGTAACTAGACAGGATCGGGCACATACACAGCATGTTCTCTTCAGCTCCTTGCTGATTACAGACTGAAAATCATCGTTTCTCCTTTTGCTGCCTGAAATTAATAAATCTTTCTGGAGTCTCAAAATCATTCTTCTCCACAGTCAAGAAACAAAGCAAGCAAGCAAGAGCACACAGTTGTGGTTAAGGTTAAAATCATCTATTGTAGGGCTAGAGAGATGGCTCAGAGGTTAGGAGCACTGGCTGTTCTTCCAAAGGTTCTGAGTTCAATTCCCAGCAACAGAATGGCTGCTCATAACCATCTATAGTGAGATCTGGTGCCCTCTTCTGGCATGCAGGTGTACATGCAGGCTAAATAATAAATAAATCTTTTTTTTTTTTTTTTTTTTTTTTAATCATCCATCATAATTAGTGAACTAGAAAGAGATTTTGGCTGTCTTTCTCCCAAGCATCTTGTGGAGCCTGGCATGCTGATACCTGTGATGGCAGCACCCGAGAGTGGTAGAGGCAGGGAGATCGAGAGTCAGCCATGTGTGGTGGTGCACACCTGTAATCCTAGCCCTCAGGAGACTGAGGCTAGAGCCACCCTCAGCTACATAGCAAGTTAGAGGTCAGCCTGCACTACATGACGGAGTCTTCGTCTCAAAATGAAAGATTTTGAGGCTGTCCTAGGCTATATAGCAAGATGGTCTCAAATTAAAAAAAAAAAAAAAAAGTCATCAGTTCCATAGCTATGTCTCCAGCTGTGTGCTGTCAGTCTTCAGGTCTCTTGTATGTAGCAGCACATATGTATGTTCTCTCAAAGCCAAAGCTCCATTCTTAAATCACTAGCAGTTCCAGAAATGAAATCACTAGTAATTTAACACCATAATTTGCAGTTATATTAGAGCATTTGGTTTTGCCTTCTAAGATTTTCTTGGTTTTAAACAACAAATATTCTACCATCATCTGCATTGCTGGAAGAAAATCTACAGGGCATGTAAATAACTATGTCCCCCGTAATCCAAATAATAAATCTATTTTTCATTTGGTTTTTAGACATTGGATTTTCATGTGTTTCCTTAATATCTTACATCTTTTAATGGTCAGCATTGACTGCTTCACACTTAAGTTGCTTAACATGAACGTTTAGACATAGAAATCCCTTCTGTGGTAGAGGATATGGTTTTTTACTACTGTATGTTATTTAATTCTGGGTTTTGTAACAGTTACAAAAGATCTGAGACATCTGCATACCCAGCAGGTGCCAATTGATAAAATCTGAAAAACAGAAAAACCTGAAACTGAAGATTCTTCTAAAATGTCTTAAGGGTGGCTTCCTTGTATATTCATAGCTGATACTGCTGTGGTCTTCAGCCATCCTTACCCAAAAACATGGCAAAGACAATGCTGACACAGTAAGATTATGAGAACATGATCTGAGTACTCAACAGATGTGTTCCAAACTGACTTCAAGGATGCACCTCACACACAGAAGAAAAGCATCTTACTCAAATTACCAAATACCTGTCTATACATGTCAGTATTCAGACTGAGATTAAAACTGCAATGCAGGCCTGGAGGATTAGCTCAGTCTGAGAAGGCCTTGCTTTGCAAACATGAGTTTGAACCCCAGGGTTAAAGAGAAAGAAAGGCCAGCCAGATGCGGTGGTGTGTGCTTATAATCCCTGCCCTGGGGAGGCAGAGACAAGTACCTGAGGCTCAAAGACCAGCTAGCTCAGCCAAATCTGCAAGTGCCAGGCCAGAGAGCAGCACCTGAGGAACAAGTTGTTCTCTTGACGTCTACACATAAGCGATGCTTTTACCCCCCCCCCCCCCCACACACACACACACAAAATTATAATGCAAATAGATTCCTGATCATGAAGGCCAAAATTGTGTTGTTCTAGCCCTACTGTAGCACAGGCACCAAAACCCAAAGTCAGCTAATGGTGTCTTATTTTGTGTACTATCTTTTTAATAAAGATGTAATTGAGAGTATTTAGGCTGTGAGTTCTCTGTAGTATCGTTCAACTATTTGGTAGAGAAATAGGTTATAGGCATGCTGAAAAACATGGGTTGACTTCTTGCCAATTACTGGAGCTTTTATCATCTCCATGTTCAAAGCCTAACTCCTCCCAAAGCTGAGGCCCTTTGACAGCCACAGTTCACACCTTTAAAACCCAGGCCGGACATAGCACAAGCATCTTAAAACACTCTCAGCCCGTCACCACTGCGCCTGTTAGCAGCCACACCTTGTACCAGGAAGCTCCAGGCCTGGGATGGAACCCTGGCCAGCTTGTAGCAGGAGGGCTCAGGCAGAATTCTGAGAGTAGACCATGCTCTCAGAGTCCTGCTGGAGAGCAGACCTACAGATCCTGAGGTCCTGGGCTCCAAGTTGATCACAACAGAACTGGACCCTGAAACTGGTTTCTGAGCATCCTCAACCTCACCTAGGCTGGAGCCGGGCTGCAGGGCACCAGTTCGCTAACACTTGAAAGCCTAAGCAATTAAGTTATTTCCTGTGTTCTCCTAATTAAACTACCCAGCAGACCCGGAAGATAGGTCCCGCCATCCCCACTAGGATCGAAAGGTACGAGCCTGCAGGTGATAAAGCCAGGTTCCCAGGCGGCTGCCTCAGAAGCTGTCGCCCGGACCACGTTCCCACTCCTGCCGTGGCTGTTGATACGGTCAAGCTTACATCCTCTGCCTCTCCAACACCGGAAAGTGGTAGATAAGGTCTCAATGGACAGTTCTAGGTCAACCAAGGCTGTACGGTGAGACCTGTCTTAGAAAAATAAATAAATTATTAAAAAAAAAAAACAAGTGCAGTTTGATGAATGTATTCCTGTGCACACAGACGTTTCTATACTGTGAACATTCACATTCAAGGTGTTTTGTTTTGTTTTATTTTGCTTCAATACATGCTTTATAAAGGTACAAAACATTTCACTTTGTGATATTCTTTTTATCTAAACCGGCTGGCTTCAAACACACCATGTAGTTGATGACCTTGAACTCCTGATCTTCCTGCCTCTAATTTCTGAGTGCTGAGGTTACAAGTGTGTACCATCATGTCCAATTTGGAGTACTGGGAATCGAACTCGGGGCTTTTTCTTGTCTTTCATCCATCAGTTTTCTGTAAAAAAGAATTTTTATTTTTCTTCTTCAGTTGTTGCCTCAGGTGCTTACTGCCTCTGTCTTCTAACCTAGGCCTAGTCCTGGAAGCTTCTAGCCTCCATACAATCTAACCTAGGGCTAGAATGTTTTCCACCTCTGAGACTTACTGCTTAATAAGCTCACCCTTTCTTGTAAAAAAAAAAAAAAAAAAAAAAAAAAATTTAAATTCTATCTAAATAATTAAAATTGTCTTTTAGGGTGAGCTTATTAAATATGAAAGAAATAAATATTATCAAAATGAATTAAATAATTACTTTTAAAAAAACAAATTAAATAAACAAACAAACACCAGAACATTAAATATGGTATGATAGGTTAGGAACTGAGCCAAGCAGAGAGGATCACCCATACTTAAGGACAAACTGACAGTGACCCCTCTCTTCTCTGTGAGGGTTGTTACTGGGAGGCTAATCAATTCCTAATAACATCATTGGTTATGAAGCAATACAGCAGGAGGAGGAAGGCCTTACATGACACATGCTTCTAGTTTTGCCTTTGGGAGTTAGACTCAGTGTCCACTCCCTTCTCTCCCAGGCTGTACACACGATAATGCTGATAAATATCCTGTACATTATTCAGTCTGTGTTTTTTAATTACTTTAGTGCTCCAAGTCAGCAAGCTTCCGAAAGCTTCCTGCGCCTCATCGCAGAGATTCTGAGCACAGTTCTGTAGGAAGATGAGAGGACCTTGTTTTTACCCAGAGTTCCAGTCAGTTGCCGTGGACTAGTGTGCGCTGACCCCAGCTGTTTCCATGCACCACGTCTTTCACCCTGATTTCCTCACATCGCACCTTTCCTTATAGATTTTTCTAAGACAGCTTCGATTGTTTTGAGGGCCAGAGTATAAATTATAAATAAGATGGCCTACATACATATGACATTCACACATCCATAAAACACATACAAATTAAAAATAAAAAAAATTAAAAAAAAACAATAAATTTCAGATAATAATATGCCTATGGGCACAGATCAATTGTATGTCTTTTCTGAAGTTTTTCTCACATATGTAGTTCAGGCAGACGATGGTAGCTTATAACCAGTAGGTGTCGCTGTCTGAAGATTGGGGTGGAAGCAAACGTGCTGAGATACCAGATGACATTAAACACAGAAAAGGTATTAGGGCTAAAGATGTGGGTTAGCATTTAAGGGGTGTATTGCTCTTAGAGAGGATTCAGTTCTGTTTCCAGCATCCACAGGGGGAGACTCACAACCACCAGTGAAGCAAAGATCTCTGGCCTCCACACAGGCATCTGCTGGGCATGCACACAAACACACACACACACAATTTTAAAATAATAAATCTTTTTTTTTTTTTAAAGATAAAGGTATTAACTCAAATTTACAATCCTGCCCTGGACTTATGATGTTTTAAAATTGCTAGACAGAACTCTGGTGGAGCCGGTTAGCTCCAGGCCCTGTATGCATTCAGTCATAAGCCAGCGAGAATCAAAACCACATATATGTTTCTAAAGTACAAACTTCACAATACTTGAATTATATAATTCAGTTAAGAGCGCAGACTCCGGCTTTGGACAGAAAGCAGGGAGTCTGATGGAAGAAGGGATATGTAGAAGGACCTGGAGGGGACAGGAGCCACACAAGGAGACCAACAAAGCCAATAAAAGCTGCACCCAGTGGGGACTGCAGAGACTCATGCATCAACCAAAGACCATACATAGAGAGGAAATAGACTCCCTGCTCAGATTTAGTCCATAGACAGCTCAGTCTCCACGTGGGTTCCCTAGTGAGGGGAGAGCAGACAGTCTCTGACATGAACTTGGTTGCCCGTTTCTTGACCACTTCTCCCTGGTGGGGCAACCTAGCCAGCCCACAGAGAAAGAGGATCTAGGCAGTCCTGATAGGACATGATAGGCTAGGGTCAGACAAAAGGGAGGAGGACTTCCCCTATCAGTGGACTAGGGAAGAGGGAGAGAGGAGAAAGAGGGGGGGGAGGGGGGGGACCAGGAGGAGATGAGGAACAGGGCTACAACTGGGATACAAAATAAATAAATTGTAAAAAAATAACTAACAACAATAATAAGGCAGAACAGGAAAAAAAAAAAAAAGCACAGATTCTGGACACTTATTCTGCAGACTTTTGAGCTGTAAGTTAAAGAAAAACAGTTCTAAGTTTGACTTTAATACTTATGAAGCAATTTGAAAGGTAAATTAGAAGCTTCCAATGTCCATGTGAATTTAAAGGCCAGTATAAAGCTGCCGTGTAATTCACTGTCTTTTTGCTTTAGCTTCTAAGAACAAAGAGACCTAAGCTTACATTCCTTTGTTCTACAAATGTATAACAAATGGATTCAGTTATTGGCTCAGTGACTCCCTTGCTGTACAAACATGTTAAGAAGAAAGAAGAGGAGGTGAGGAGTAGAAGAGGGCAAGGAGATGGTTCAACAGATGAAGGCCCTCTCCAGGGAGCCCAATGACCTGAGTTTGATCCCTAGGAGCCACGTGGTGGACGGAGAGAACTGACTCCAGAAAACTGACCTTCACATGCACACTGCAGCCTGCGTGTCCCCCCAACTAAATAAATAAATGTATGTTTTAAAAAAGGTGATTGGTGCTGGGTGGTGGTGGCACATACCTTTAACCCTACCATTTGGCAGGCAGATCCCTGAGTTCGAGACCAGCCTGGTCTACAGAGTGAGTTCAAGGACATCCAGAACCACTCAGAGAAATCCTGTCTCAAAACACCAGATGATGACGATGATAATGATGATGATAAGTAAAGATAACTGGCCAGTTGAATGTCTCATTTTGACCTGTTTAACATTCATTGGTTCACTTGCTACTTTTCGTCCCCACCCTTATTTTCCTTGAGACCCTTTCCTTCTGGCCTGTCAGTCCTCGTGACCTACTCTTGGCTTAACTAGATCCAGCCCCAGCGTTTTCCCTGGAACAAGTGTGGAAGATGTTGTACATGCTAAATTGCCAGGATGTGTCTAACTCTTCCATTAATCGGTTTTGCTACCTTGGGCACAGAAGGTGCCAGGAAATGCAGCCAACAGTTAAAGGAAAAAGATCTCCATTCCACTGCTCCAGCTGCTAAATGCAGTCTTACTCTCCGTGGCCCACCCCAACTCCTTGAGACCACACATTCTCTGTGTTGGAGGCTGCTTCCCATCACAAACCATCCGGAGAGCACTTCATCAGTTGGCTTCCAATATTATAAGTGAGTAATGGGAAAGTTTCTATTCCAGTTTTGTTACATGGTTTTGGGCAACTCTTACTTGTTCTAGGCCTCAGTTTTCTCCTCTATAAAATCAAGCAGTTGGAAAGGTTTTCTCTAGAGAACCTTTTCATTAACCACCCCCCCCCAAAATAAGTCATATTTTATTTGCTTAAGGATGATGATTTTGTGGCACTGGCAGTATAAAGACATTTTCCTAGCTCTAATCGGAACTAGGCAATTGGTCTGTGGTATTTGAGTGTTGTTGATGAATATTAATGATTAGTATTCAGTCATATAATTAGTAAAACTTTATTCATTAATCAATAATCTCCCAAAACAACCACACATTGAGGCTATGACTCCATCAAAATTAAACATAGAGGTGAACATAATAACTAATCTATCATCCCACTATCAAGTTATCTTCCTCCCATCCAAGCTTTCAGGTACTTGTGTTATTATCTTAGCTGGAATGGTCCATTCTCCTCCTCTCCTGCACCTCCTCTTTAGCCTTTGCTCATGGTCCCCAGACCTCCAGCAACCTCAGAACTCCATGCCTTTCTCTTCTGCTGAATCCCCAGCTTCATCATTTCTTCTTAACCAATAAATTTTAAAGTAGGTGGAACAAGATTTACACA